GGGGAAAGGTCAATGGTCAGGGTTTCACAACACACAGTCTTTGTTGCTGAGGAAGACTTCGGATGTGGCCAATCAATACCTATGATATGAACCATGCATTCATATCAAGAGCAAATTGAAACTTTTTTCACATATACAGTTTGATGGAATCGTACATAGGAACGAAAATTGAGGTTAGATTTTAATGTCATGTCAAATAAACAATACCTCACTACTTGAACCACTTCATGCTGATAGAGATAAGCAAAGAAACTGCTATAAGAAGATACGCATTTGTATGCATTTCGAAGACAACAATGTTATTTTTGCAAAGAAGAGACCACCAAGGACTGACTGTTCACTGGCTGATATGGTTGATAGGAAGTGCTTTTAGTGAACATACCACTAAATAGCATTAACCAATAATTCAATGTGTTCCCTTTTCTATTCCTATGAGTATATGTAGCCCAAGGCCAAAGGTCATCTTTGAGGTTCAACTATTGTAAGCTTTTGTTAAGTACGGAGTTCACCATCATGTCGAGTTAAGATCTCCCTTAACTATTCCTTCTTAATATTAAACTACAGAAACAATTATATTGTTTTCTCATTTGAACTTAAGAAACATCAAACTGACTGTGACTACACCTACCACATGGAGATAGAGCCAACCTCTTGGCTTCTACTCCTACCTCTTGCTTTCTACTTCTAAACACTGTTACAAAAAAAAGAAGAGCAACCAATCCATGTTAAATTAGAGCTAGATCATGATCACAGGCCACAAAAGTTTAGGAATTCGAAACCATTTAACAAAAATAATAATCCTACTTTGACATTAGACAAACTCATTCCATGAAGGTCAGTTTTCACAAGATATACCTGAACATTAGTGCCACGATCTCCATGTTAATTCAACATCGTGGTTGTCTTACATCATGAAGATTCTTGGCATTCAATTCAATACTGCAGTCCAGCTAAACGCATCACCTTGAACACTGGGAGAAATTCCACTGGCCAAACTGAGAAGTTGGAATTCTAACGTAGGGATGGGTATTGAGAAAACTCTCCTGGCAAACTCAATATTTATTGACCCACATGTTCAAGGTGCATGTTATACAAGCACTGGAGAATGTGTAGCTACGTGTGGGTGAAAACGGTTTGCATGTGAGGTGTCATCCATTACCCAATCACGTGGTACAACCCATCATGCAACATTAACACTCGCAGAAATCAATATTTCTAACTTTATATCGCAGTTCAAGAATGTTTTTCATGAAGTTTTGAAATATTGGGTGTTTTATCACTGTATGATGAGTTTCAGCAGCAAAGGCCCTTTCATTCAGGAAACAGGATAAAAAGTGAAGATGGATTGCATTAGTTTTTCGGCACAGGTTTTACTTGTTAGTGTATTGCAAGCTGTCATATATTTCACGCTCATGAAACTGCATTAACACTGGAAATGAAAACTATCATTTTGAAAGCAGATGTTCTGTTGAATGAGATTAATATTTTACTTCCTGCTGTTGAATGCTTGAAAAAACTTGTTACAAATAATTTGATCATTTTGGCAAGATTTACCAAAGATGACATATTTTACATGAATTAAACGTGTGTGAAACTTGTCTTGAGTGAGTGAGTGAGTGAGTGAGTGAGTGAGTGAGTGAGTGAGTGAGGAGTGAGTGAGTGAGTGAGTGAGTGAGTGAGTGAGTGAGTGAGTGAGGTACAGTTGCACAGACTCATGGTCTATGCAAACCAATGGTCATAAATATGCACAACCACCCATATCATCTGAGAATGAGTATACACATTGTAATCACCAATTCACTGGGGAAAAGATTATGATAGATGGTACACTAATAATTTCAGCTTACTGTCAAGATAAACAAACAAGCCATTTTATGTCATTTACATAGGTCTTGAACATTTTGTACAGACTTTTACAACACTCAATGACAGCAGACCATGAGCATGTCACAACACAACCAGTGTCAGTTTAATCTAGATCCTACTTCTGCGATTACCCTTTCCACATTACTCAAAAGAAAGATGGGATAATTACACACTCAATACAGATTCGCAAGAAACTTGTTAAAAACCATCAGAGTAAGAGCCAATATTTACACACATCACCTCCGCAAGTAGTTTTGACAGAAGCACCCTCTTTGGCTACTTCATCAAATAATGTGTGTTTGTATCTAGATGTGTGTGCAAACAGGCATTCGATCAGGATCAGTGAAGTCAATTCCAACTTTTCCTGATGGGATATGCCTAGGTAAGTGTGACTAACTCTACTGAGTTGTAGACAGAAAATAAGTTGTGTTGATGGGAAATGGGACCGATAACAAATGATGCAAACTCGGTTCACTGTCAATGAATACAGAGTAAAAGTATTTAAAACTGGTTAAACATTCAGTTTCACAATTTCAATTGTTCAAATAAATTCAAATCAAATTTACATTCCACATTTCAAATATTTAGAAAAGAATAAGCCATTACAACCTGTTTTTAAAATAAAATAAAATGTTTAACATGGGGAGTTAGTACCGTATTTTCTTGAGTATAGTGCGCACCCATGTATAATGCGCACCCCCCTCTAGCGGGTTCAATATTTTGGAAAAAAAGAATTTTGAATATTATGCGCAGAAAAAAATTACACCGTACCCTTTCAGCGAAGTCCGCCAAACGAACGGGTGATGAGAAACTTCGTCAGTACAAATTCGAAATTTGAGATAAAAAATCACCAGACATGTTTATTTACCGTTTAAATAGTATTTATTGTTCTGCTAGGCATTGTTTTATATCCAGGGATTAAGATTACCTTGTGTATTTTCTCGTAAACTAAGCCGGAAACAGCAATCAGCTGTACACACGTTTTCTTGGAATCGACCGGTGATTCGGTCAAGACACACCCAATGATATAACTTTATAGGATTTTTAATGCAAGGATCGGCAACAATTGTATCTGAAACTATTTTTTTTTATCAGGAATTATAGATTCCATTATTTTCTTAATTATATGTAGCCTTTACTAAACATATTTAAAATAATAATAACCCTAAGCGAAGCAGCTGATCGCTATTCCCGGTTATTATTTTTTACATGGAACCAGTCTGACCAGTCACCGTCAAGGCACACGCGCACGTGATCGCGTGATCGCGAGAATTTCATGTTGACATAGAATCGTCAAACAAAAACAAATATGACTTTTAACGAGTCAACGTATGTCATTTATGATATATGTATCCATTCTCTGTCAACTAAAGTTCGTTTCAAGGCGTCAATAGCGGTATTCTGACCGTGGTTGCTGTTAATAACGGTGAGTTGTGCGATCTTCCGATCGCTTCACACACGATTTCGCTGAAATTAATAAAAATAATATTAAAAGGAATTTTGAATAAAATTAATGAAATAAGTTACAAACATAAGTCCAGATATACAAAGAACACTTTTTATAGCCAGACAGTGTAATTACATGATTATTTTGCGTACTTCAGTATGGATTTGTTGACATGGTATTTCCGGTGTTTCGGGCTCACGGTAATGTCTTTCCATGGGGGAAAAAAACATCCAAACTCATAGTTCGTGTATAATGCGCGCCCTTCTACACAGCTGTGTTTTTTAAAAAAAAAGTGTGCATTATACTCAAGAAAATACGGTATGACCTTACGATGCCTTAAGCAATATTCCAGTAATATCATGTCAAGTCAGGTAGACAGTAGCATGTCCGAGTCAGGTAGACAGTAGCATGTCCGAGTCAGGTAGACAGTAGCATGTCCGAGTCAGATAGACAATAGCATGTCCGAGTCAGGTAGACAGTAGCATGTCCGAGTCAGGTAGACAGTAGCATGTCCGAGTCAGGTAGACAGCAGCATGTCCAAGTCCGGTAGACAGTAGCATGTCCGAGTCAGGTAGACAGTAGCATGTCCGAGTCAGGTAGACAGTAGCATGTCCAAGTCCGGTAGACAGTAGCATGTCCGAGTCAGGTAGACAGCAGCATGTCCAAGTCCGGTAGACAGTAGCATGTCCGAGTCAGGTAGACAGTAGCATGTCCGAGTCAGGTAGACAGCAGCATGTCCAAGTCCGGTAGACAGCAGCATGTCCGAGTCAGGTAGACAGCAGCATGTCCAAGTCCGGTAGACAGCAGCATGTCCAAGTCCGGTAGACAGTAGCATGTCCGAGTCAGGTAGACAGCAGCATGTCCAAGTCCGGTAGACAGTAGCATGTCCGAGTCAGGTAGACAGCAGCATGTCCAAGTCCGGTAGACAGCAGCATGTCCGAGTCAGGTAGACAGTAGCATGTCCAAGTCCGGTAGACAGCAGCATGTCCGAGTCAGGTAGACAGTAGCATGTCCGAGTCAGGTAGACAGCAGCATGTCCGAGTCAGGTAGACAGCAGCATGTCCGAGTCAGGTAGACAGCAGCATGTCCGAGTCAGGTAGACAGCAGCATGTACGAGTCAGGTAGACAGTAGCATGTCCAAGTCCGGTAGACAGCAGCATGTCTGAGTCAGGTAGACAGTAGCATGTCTGAGTCAGGGAGACAGTATCATGTCTGAGTCAGGGAGACAGTATCATGTCTGAGTCAGGTAGACACCAGTGTTGACACATCCCACCTAAGTGTGTAGCTGACGTGCTGATCACACCACAGGCGCTTGTCAAGCTACATTATCCAATACCCAATGTTTGTAGCCACAACGTGAGTGCAAACACACCACTGCCGAGGATCATGGGAGATGAAACATATGTTCATCGTGTGCTACGTGGCAGACTAGACACTACTATTGCACGATGTGGGTTTTTCACACCTCTGTTACTCACAATCTTTATCCTCCTGAATGCTTCATTAACCTGTTGGTGAAGCTTCGATACTTTTTGTTGAAAAAAGCAAATGGAGTTAAATCTACTTGTCATTCTGTTGCTATAATGTCTCAATTTTTGCAGATGAGTTTCTTGTGGTTGGTACTGCATTCCAACAATGTGATGCCTCGTTGTATGAACAATATATACATATACAAACATTTACTTACATTGACACTCTCTGTCATTGCTTTCAATCGCTGGATAAACTCTGTCCCTGATTTGGCTTTTTCTGATAATGACTGTAAGTTCTGTGAAAGTTCACTCTGAAATAGAGACAAATATATATTAACTATATGAAATAAAACCAACAAATGTATCCACTTACACATAAAAGTCATTTGAAATATATATATACATAAATAAACATTCAATCCTGCACCAATAAAAAAATCAATGCAAAATAAAATCATCCTTGTAAACAATAACATTAAATGGTATTTTAGAAGTTGAAGTAACAAGAAATACCTGATTCCAACTTCTCCTATTCAATTGCTAAATAAAAGTACTGGAATCTGTACTTAAATATTGCATTGAAAGAATAAACAACGTTGAAATCCATAAGTCACCTCCATCTTCACATACTCAATGATAAACATGAATCTTGCTTCTGTTATATAAACTACCAAAGTGACACAGCTTCTACAAATGGCTATATCCATCAATAACTTTATACCGTTTCTTCCATGTCTTGAACAGCATTATTCCTTAAGTAAATGTTCAACATCTCCATATGCTGTAAATCTCCAGAAAACAAAGAGGTCTTGTCTATGGCCGATGCTAAAGTCAGGTTCTCCATCCGACTACAATCGAGGCACCACACTATGGGTCACAAAGTTTTCACCACCTCATAAACTGGCACCCTCCTTGATCAAAGTTGTGCTCTCAACACTTTCCACTATACCCACAGTAGCAGTGATCAAATGCCTAGTTTATCACTCTGTAAGAATTAGGCAATCAAAGTTAATTAGAAGACCTCCTGTCTTCATCCCCTATTGAGTAATTGGCCTGCAGAGCTGCAGAGTGGAAGGGGTCCAATACAAACAAACACATGCACATAAGCCAACAGAAATGCACTCCCTTTACTACAGAGTGAACACCAATAAATGTGCGAGAGAGAAGAAAAAATACGGAAAAGAAATTATTGATCAGCCATTTCTGTAAGTTAGTGGTGAGGAAATCATTATGGAGAAAGAGCTACCGTAAAGACGACAAAGGATGGAGATAATAGCTTGAAATGTTAAGTGGAATGCGATTTATCGAACATGAAATCGTCATAAGTTACATGCCATGCTGGTGCGCAGATAGAGATGTCGTAACACGTGTTTACAATAGATGCAGTCTTCAAGACAGCAGTATTACAGTGCATCAATTTCTCATTAGAAATGAAAGATTTGTCTGCACCATACTTTATCTCAATTATCCTAAGTTGTGTAAATACCAAATGTTGTTCAAATATTACCAGATTAATATAAAGTCAGCAAAATTTCCTTTGATAAAATAAATATACCGTTTGTTCAGGAATGAACAGTAACTGTAGACTTTCAACGGGAGGTAAAAAAGACATTTAAAGGTAATTTTTTCTTATGAAAGCTTTGAAAATTTTGAATTTTTTCCATGGGAAATAATATAAGTTTCTGACATATCACACTCCCATAAAACTGACACCTCATCATCATCTAGTCTGGAACTATTTCCTTCAGGTAAATTAACTGCTAAAGTTGCATGACAAACATCTCCTTTCACGGCTTACATTCACACAGATAAGATACAACTAATGCTTAGACTTTCATGCAGATTAAAGACTATTTGTCCGGAAACTAAAGTAATAAAATCCTTTTTCATTTGAGCAATTTCGGATTACTTCAATGCATGCAGACATTTGAAACAATAAAACTTAATCAGTGGAAAATAAACTCATAACAGTTTGAACATAAATAATTTCCCCAAACAGAAGTTCTTCAAATCACCTTACAGTAGTCTATAATCAAAACAAGCCAAAACAGTAGGTGCAAGTAATTAATTAACTGTAAACAGTTGTCAGGGAAGTTGTTTGATCTTTGTCTGTTTAGGAACCTGAATGATTACACAGGACACCTTCAAGCCCTTCTTACAGGGCAATACTGTAAATAATCAACAACCATGTGATTAAATCACTACACTACAAATAATCCACCTTTCTTCCACCTATGGAAGCCATATGCGTTTCTGGTGAGAAAACTTCAAATATGGGTACTGATATTTGAGATATTTTCCTGACGACAAGCATAACATTGAGCATTAAGTTTAGACAGGACACTCCAAAATGTCTTAATTACCAAACATCCCTCCCATATGGACCTAATGAGCCAGGACCAAGTTCTGCTCACTTTCATGTCAAATGTCTTTGATCTAATTCCTTGCATAGACTCCTGGTACAAATTAACCTACAAAAATGTCAACTATGTCACACACATCCAAAAGGAGCAAATAGTTTCTTGAAAAGTAAAAGTGACAATAGTTTTGTGTTATACCATTCACTGTTTATGATACATTGTTTTAACACAGTACATCGCCTTTAATTCTTGCATGTGAAAAGGAAACAAGAAAAAATCCATAAGCCAGGTGACAATTCAAGAAGAATCTGAAACCCTGGGATTTTGATGTGTTTCTCATCTAGCTATAACTTTCCATCAGTCTTGACTCTAACTGGCATCTTTGTCCAATGAACTATGTTTGTTCATGCATCAGCAAAGTTTATTTGTAAAGCAAATACTCTAAATGAACGAAGTTGAATGTTATTCCCAAGATGGATTGGAGGAACATACTCATTGCAGGAAGAATAGGATTTCTAAAACATTCCAAATTCCCTGACACACATTTGAAAAGCAAAATAATAAACAAATGTTAGTGACTTCATCTCTTTCCTTCCAAACATGAGTGTTTTGAGACTCAAACTAAACAAATAATATAAATGAATGCATCCGAAGAGTTTGTACAGTTTTCAGTCACTAATGATTTTTTTCCCCACTTGAGGCCAAAGATGGAATGATGTTGCCTATCGGCCATCTCAATATCATCCAGCTGGCTAGGCGACCTATTGCATCATGGGAAGGCCATTACAATCCATTACAACTCATAATGGCTGACACTTCCATAGATAGCAAGCACATTTAGCATATTTGAATACCATTCCTGAGTTGAGATGAATCTATTGCTTGCCTCCTGGGGCTGATGGTGATTGGGCCTGAAGGTAGTTCTCCATGGAGGAAGGCACATACCCCGGCAAGCCTTAGTCTTATGACTGATTCTCCTGGACCTTCTGAAGGAACAGAGGGGGCCTCCTAAACCTCTCCTCCATGTGTTCTATTGTCTGTACACCAGACAATAGTCCACGTGAAGCCAGTTTCTTAAACACTTTGCTGAAAGAGGGATGACTTGGACCTGATCAATTTTCACATTTATGAAAGACGATCTTCAAACACATTTCGGGCACATTTTAAAGCTGCCTTTGGGCATCTTGTTGAGTCCTAATAAGAAGATTTCTTTTACAGATCAATCTGAGGTTGCTCTGACTGGCTGCATCAAAGTTTCAATATGCTAGACAGCCCATAATGACAAAACTAAGTGTCTTTGTCTATCTGATCTTTCACTACTTAGAACAAAAAGTGTTCCTGGGGTCGAACTGAATTTGAGTATGACCAGCCTAACAACCAATGCAATGAGAAAATGTCAAATGACAAAGTAAAGAGATGCAACTTCCCATTCAAATTACAAACACCAGCTTAAAACAAATTAATCCAACATTTTTTCATTCAAAACATTTTTAACTTTTCAACCTTAAAGCAACACTGACATTTTCAAGTTGACCTTCTTTACGTGATTGCATATGACGAAACCTTCCCCAGGAATCAAAGCAAATTGTTTCTCATGCCCACTGTTCTCCAGGGGGAGAACTAATTAAAGATCTTAATCTTAGTCTTTGATAATTTTCTCAATATTTAGATTAACTTGATCTTTGGGCAAAACATCAAATGACTGATCAAGAAGATATTTAAAAAATTCTTCAAGCCATCTTCAGCAGAGGGCTGTTGTCCCTAATTGTAATGAATCTGTCAAATTCCTGATCAATACAAGAATACTGATTATTTCATTAGCTCATTTTGAACAAATGACACATTCTTCATCCATTAAATCAGGATCCTGAACAAAATAAGTAGTAAAAAGCTTTCACAATGTGAAGCAAAAACAATAATGATTAGGATGGTTGAAACCTTTTCTCCTTCAAATGACAGCATAATTTCATGTAAAATAATCGAACAATGTGAAAATAAGATTTCATTGTATTATAAGGAAATGTCAATACAAGTCCATGATGATCTAATTGACTTGCACTATGCTAATGTCAAATGTTTAAAAAAATTATTGAACCTTTAAGATGCTTTGCTTAAAGGACAGAAAATAACCTGACAGCTGTAGTCAGCTTGTGTAATGTTAAAGGTATTGCTGGTGGAATATCAGATTAAGATGAATGTTCTTGTGCTGTAACATTTCAGGGTGGTAGATTCCATAGTTTGGAATCTAACCTTGCTTTACAATACCGGTTAATCTAAATATAGCACTGGTTTCTTTTTCAATGCTTAAATAAAACAAAATATGATCTTGTCGCCCTAACAAGAAAATCTCCTTCTTTTTTCTTGAGAAAGTTCTCCAAAATTTGTAAAGGAGTGAGAAACATGTATTATTCTAAATGCTCTTTTTGATTGTCAGTATGCTTCATGGACATTTTTTATACTTATATACTTGAAGAGTTTCTATAGGAAATAGTCTCAAATCAAACCAGACATTTTGTATTTGTCTCTGTCCCTTGGCATATTGACCACATAAATCTGTAAAAGAAGACACTAAATTGGTCTTAATGAAAATAATAATGATCATACATAAACATAAGAACTAAACTTAACATCTCAAGTAATTTCTTTATCCACTGCAACTGACACACACATACCTAATAAGACACTTGTCAGCAGCTCATGCAAACAGAGATGCCTTATAGTAATAGACAGTATGCTCCAAGAGTGATTGTGATAGCTCAAACTGTCTTCTTCCAGGTAATCTGAATATCTACACTTATTGAAGACAAGGCAGACGTCTGACATTTTAACAAATTGTCCTAATGGTGTCTGAATACCACATGGTGTCCACAGACTTTGTGTCTGTCTCAAGAACATCAAATAATAAGATTCCATTGTGAAATTTCACACACAAGACTTTCATATATAGCCAA